GTAAATTGCCGTGAACACAGTCACTATTGCCATTTTGAAATACTTTCATACGCAAAAGCTCAAAACAGTAACAATATTGATGAATCACTATACTCAACTTTTAGTTGTCCAAGTTTTCCCTACGGCTAGGTATTCGTATCTCGCCATTTTTTTTTCAGTGTTGTGTTTCTTATGTGAACCACTGTATATTCAATGTTGTCAGATCGTACGTATTTTTGAAACTAATAATCGTTTGTTGATTATATTATCATTGATATATATATTATTGTTGATATATATAGTTGATACATGACTTTTTTGCCCTATGATTTATGTTTTTTGGTTTTTTTAAGTTATAAATAATAAAAATTCAAGTAAATGAAATTATTAATTTTACATCTAAATTATACCGATACGAAAGACTTTACATTCAAAAAACGCTGAATTGTACGAAATAAAGAATTTGGAATATTTCAAAGGCACATACGATCTGACAACATTAAATATATCTCAAGACTCAAATCAAGCAAATATTATTAATTTTACATTAAAACAAATGCTGGATTTGACGAGAGGAGCAATTTTGTTTGCAATATTCAAAAGGTTTATATGATCTTGCAACACTGAATATATTTATCTAATATTCAATCGAGTGACTATTATTAATTTTATAATCAAGCAATGCTGAATTTTATGAAAGGAGTAATTTGGAATGCTCCAAAAGGATGTATGAATTAACAGATAATGCTAAATATATCTATCTAATAACTCAATCGAGCAACTATTATTAAATTTACATTCAAGCAAACGCCGAATTGTATGAAAAGACTCTATTGTTACATTCAAACAAATATTGGATTATACGAAAGGAGCAATTTTGGGATGTTCTAGATACTGATACGATCTGATATTTAATATGAAAAATTACCATAAATAGATTTACAAATGTGTGTTTTTGCAAAAAAAGATAACGATAAAATATGGTTTGATCAATTTTTGTGGAATTATCGCTTGATTATTTATTCAACTACGTAGTAATTTATATTGATATATTTTTGATAGCTATTTTATATATTAAAATATTATATACACGATTATGTATCACTCAAAATTTGAAAGCTCTAATTCCTCGTCAGATAACGATTTACAAGGAATGACGCCAATTCCACCAAATGTATTAATTTCACCTGTAAAACTGTTAACTAAAGAAGAATTAACTCAGCAACGAGTTCTTAAAAGATCCACTAGATTAAAACGTCATTCTTCGGAATCATTTGTGATGTTGAAACGTGGACAAAAACCAACTATTTCGCTGGAAAGCAAGCTTCCTACTGAATCTGATTCGGATTTGACAAAAAGCAATAATAAAGTGCCAGTATTCAATTCTTTGTCATCTTTCTTGAATAAGTCATTAAGCATACCAACATCTAACAAGGGAAGTATTCTTTCATCGTCGTCATCGTCAGCGTCATTATCATCACCATCATTGTCTTCATCAAATGAGTATTCATCTTGAGAAACTTCACCATCTTCATCAAATAAGATATCCAGTTTGTATTCATCTCGAGAAACTTCACTATTTTCATCAGTAATGAGTTCTTCGCTTTCAACTCGATCACAAAATCAAGAAGTGATCATGTCCAAAAAGAGAAGATTTGAAGCAATTGAAGATTTACATCCAGGTTTTCTTTCCTTTGCGCAAAAACAATCAAAACATGCACGAAAAAAATTGAAATGTAAATTCCCTATGTTAACCGCATCAGAAGCTAAAGAAAATCTAATTAGAGAATTGACCACACTTCCAACAGTTTTTCTTTCAGATATTGTATTGGAAATTCGTGCAAAATCTTTAAAAAGAAAAAATGAAAGTGATTTAAATGACAATTACAATATTAAAAAAATGAAAAATGAAACACAGAAAATATCATTGCTTTCTTCTCTAATATCATTATCATCACCTTCTTCAACATCACCTTTTTCAACACCATTATCAACATCATTATTAACACCATTATTATCATCGCCTTCTTTAATACCATTACTATTATCACCTTCTTCAACATCATTATCATTATCACCTCCTTTAATATTACCTCCTTCAGCGTCATTACCATTACCAGCATCATCTTTTTTCTCTATCATTTTTACCACTATAACCTCCATTACCACTAACTTATATAATGTATATCATAGATGTCATTATATAATTTACAATCTTTTTAATAATACCAATATAGAATTTGATGGAGATGTAATAATGGAGGAAGCAATTTAAAATAGTGATTTTTCTTTTTTTGATTTCTTATTCAAAGACACTAACTAATTTATTACATAGCAAAGTTTTTTTGCTTTGAAACCTTTCAGATCTTTTAATTCTTGTCTTTTTTGGTTTGAATATGTTATTAACTTATTGTATGGGGCTGTATTAAAAATTAACTAAATGTTTTATATAATAGTTAGTTTTTAATATATCTCTCTGAAAAATAAGAAGTAAAATTGTGGATGCATTGTTTATTAGTAAGGTAAGATTTGTATTAACTTTTTAGCAAATTAAATGAATTATTATATAATGAAAGAATTTCAAATAATTATATGGTAATGGTAAGTATTTAAGGTAAGTTTTATTGATTTGTTTGGTAATTGAATTTGTTATAACTATGTAAACTAGAATTATTTAGAACAAATCGTGGAAAACAGTTTGTTATTTATTTTATTTTGTTTTTTTATTGTTTTATTTCATACATTAACTGATTTTCCATTTTCTTTTAAAATTTTAGATATATATCTTTTGATACCTATTTATAATTATTTGTATTCATTCATTTAAGATAATTAATTCAATTTAATTTTGTTAAAGTTTTACATTTCGAACTTACTAATAATAATGTACCTATAGTTTTATTCTTTTTTTTCAGAAACAATAGGTTAAAAACATATACAATACCCGAATTGGCTTGAATTAAAAGTTGAAGAAGGGTCTTAGCATTGAAGTGGAGCTTTGTAATGAATTTAGTGGTGAATTTGGAGTGGATTCAAAAAGAAAAATAGCTATTTTATTATTACTTATCTCTATTTTAATCTCCTCTTTTCTTACTTGTCACTCTTTTTATTCTCTCATTTTGATGTAATAATGGTTTCTTTTTCTGTTTCTCATTACTGTCACTCTTTTTATTCTCTAATTGGTGTAATAATGATATATTTCCTTTCTTTACATGTAATACCAATGAATGCATTAATAATTAATAAAAGAATTTACGAAAATTGTAAGATTTTATTTAGGTGATCACGAACACAAAATTGCCTCTTTAAAATTTAACGTTATAAATATGTGAAGTTGATAATAATTCTCAATTTCATTCGATTGAGTCTTGTTCAGATCGTATATGCGTTTGGCATTATTTGAATTAATAATAATCGCTCAATTGAGTCTTTAGATAGATTTGTTCAGTGTTGTCAAATTGTGTATCCCTTGGAATATCCCTAATTTGCTTCTTTGTAAAATTCAGCATTTGTTTGAATGTGAAATTAATAATAGTTGCTTGATTGAGTTTTTAGGTAGATATATTCAGTTTTCAGATCGAATATTACAAATTTGTCTCTTTCACGAAATTAATTGTTTGTTTGAATGTAAAGTCAATAATGATGATAATAATAACGTAACAATAATGATAATAGTCACTTAATACTGTATGTAGATCATATCGATACGATATATCTTCGAGAACATAAAGGAATAATTATTTTGTTGGTTAATATTTCTGTTGTACAAGTGATTCTCGATCTGCAGCTGTGCCATTGTTTATGTTATAAAAATACCCTATCCTTAACGTTAAATTATTTTTTATACATGTACATGTACATGTGTAATGCCATCTAAGAGTGGATACAAACACAAATGTAGGACGATAATCTATTTCCCTATTTATTATTGTTATTTTTATCAGTGAGAGCAAAAAGATAAATTAGCTTTCGACGATATCAAAAAAATGTCGTCTTCGTCTTCGTTTAACGCGCATAAATGGTTAGAAACCGCGAGAGCAGAAAATCAAATAAAATTTTTTGATTATAAAGGGTTCATTGATATCAATGTAATTGGACATGGAGCGTTCGGTGAA